AGGGGCCACTCCCGGCCACCACAGCCTCACCTGCTGGGCTCCAGCGATCCTTCCACCTCAGCCTTCCGAGTAGCCGGAATTACAGGCACGCGCTACCACGCCCGGCTGATTTTTTGATTTATTGTAAAGATGAGGTCTCACTGCCCAGGCGGGTCTCGAACCCGCGGGCTCAGGCAATCCACTCACCTCAGCCTCCCAAAGGCGCAGGATTACAGGCTGAGCCACTGAGCCCGGCGGATTGGAATTTTTTAGCCAAAGCATCCCCACCACCCCACAGGCCCACCAGGCCTTGGCCCCATCCTGAGCCAGCCCTCAGTTCCCTGAGGCCAGCCCCACCCCTGACCCTTCCCCGTGAGCCTCAGCCAGTAGGTCCCACAGTGCTCTGGCAGCACTCGGCTGCAGAAGAAACCCAGGGGTGCGGCCAGAGGTGAGCTAGTGGGCAGAGATTGAAGAAGGGTGGCCTCTCTGGACCTCAGCATTCCCCTCAGTGAGATGAGGAAGTGCCTGAAATCAGGCTGGAGTCTTGAGCACGGATTTCACGTGGAGAATTGCGTCCCAGGCCTCTGATACTCGTCCTTGGAAACAATGGCGTTCATTCATTCGTTTTCAGCCAACCCCACCCCTCCTTTCACCCTCTTTCCCTTTTAGCAGAGACCCTTACGATCGCCCCTCCCTCCCACTCCTGTTCTCTGCCCCATCACTGTGTCAGGCTCCTTCCACTCTTCCCTGACAGATTCTTGTCCAAGCTGGCTCACAACTCCTGGGAAGCCCCACGAGGACACCCAATTCTAGTAGCAACTCAGAGTCAGAATTCAGAAGGAGGTCACAGGGGCGTACGGAAGAAGGAAATTGTCCCTCTCCCTGTCCTGACAAAAGGCATAAAGGAAAGAAAAGTTGTTAGAGTAAATAACGGTCTCTGGCATCCTCCCTTTCTGGACCCCTCTTCCACCAGTCGAGGCTCCTGGGACTCCTTGGGTCCCCACAAGGGTGCTGTCCTAAGGCCCCACCGGGCTCCTGCACAAGCCCGTCCCACATCCAGGTGCTGCTGCCTTCTCTGTATCACCCTCCTCTCAACCTCAGACATCTATGAGCCCAGCCCAGCCCAGGCCTAATGCCCAACTCCCACATATTGAGTAGCAACCACCCAGCACCAGGCACCTACACTTGAGCAAAATTTACATCTTTTTTTTTCCTTTTGAGTTGGAGTCTCACTCTGTCACCCAGACTGGAGTGCAGTGGCCACTCCCGGCCA